GAAGCAACATCCTCCACAACTAGACTGAAGAACAAAAGGACAGCAACTTGTCTGTTCCCCTTCCCCCAATTCCCCAGCGCTGTTCCCATCCCCCAACTCCCCAATAAAAATCTTTAAATAAATAAATAAATAAAAATAAAATAGTAACAGCAAGAAACTGCTTTGATGTGACCACTTACCAAGGCAGAAGGTTCTGGCACTGGGATAAATGAATCCTTCTGTGACTATCCATGCCCTCTTTTTAGTTATGATTCTGCCCCAGATTCTTGAAAACAGTCAGCAATCACCTCCTGTTTGTTCTCACCTGTTTGTTTTCCAAATATGTACGACATCAGGATCGGTGATTTTTTTGTTTTCAGCCTGGGCATCCAAAAAGTCAAAAAAGTATTTTATAGCAAAGGGAGCTCTGCTGTTGGGTAAACTCCAAATGCTTCTAAAAAGTTTTTCAAGCACAGAGTGTATCGCCACCTGAAAGACAGAACATTAGACTTGGGACATTAAAACAAACAGGGTAGCTGTTTGGAAACCTGATGGAAAATGAAATACAAGTTCAGAGAAAATTATGTGCAAAACAGAGAAAAACAAGCTGAAGAGAAAAATATGTAAAATTATCAAACGAGGCCATCACTCCCAGTATGGGACACTGGTCCCGAAAATCCAGGTTAGGTTTGGATTTGGCTCCTGACCTTCTTGCTGATAACATTGTTTAGTCTACAGGGAAGCTATCTTGGAAATCTCTAGCAGTTGAGATGTCAGTTGTAGGGCTATATAAATAAACCAAGAAGCCATGGATGTTTGGCTTTTACTAGTTATGTTCAGCCTGGAAAAACTCAAGTGATGTTGCTCAGTTCCTAGAATTTTCCTGTTGCATATATTTCCATCATGGGGTTTTACTGTGTACTTTCAAAGCATTTGAGTGTTTTATGAAAACCAAATAGGCAGAGCTCTGTGGGACAGAAGAGACTATCAAGAGGCTCTGGCTGTCCTCTACCATTAAACAAGTCTGCTAAGCCCTCAGCAGACACCCTGCTATTAGCTGAGGAAGCATGCCCAAGAGGCTGGGGCCAGCTGTGGATAACACCGTTTATACTGCTAGTCATCGCAGGAAAAAGGATCACCCCAGACTTCTGTTAATCCCACTGAAAGCCAGGGAGAGGACAGTTTGCCCCGATTTGGTATTCCACCTACTTTTCCACTACCACTTGTATATGTGAACAGAATTCTTAACTTTAAAATGAAAAAAAATCAGTAAGATTTACTGGGTTTACAGCCATTGACCTCCCCCTTTTGTGTTATTTGCAATTCAAAGAGGGAGTTTTATTGCTCATCCGTAATGACAAACAAGAAGGAATAATTATGCTGTCAACCTAAAAAACAGTAATGAAATGGCAGGTAAAGGGACTGAACAATGTTAAATCCCTGATTGAAGAGGTTACGGTACAAATTTGTACAGTGCTGTCTTTGCAGTTTATATAAAAAAAGAGAAGGGGGTAGGAAGTGTTTATAATTCAAACTTTCATTTTGCTTTGCTGGAAGGCACAAGGGATTTGTAACATTTTCACACTCCAGTGGAAATTAAGTCAAACACCTCATACACCCCCAAAGTAGCCATAAAAGCTCTCCCAAGAACAGGAAGTGTACCTTGGTCGACAGCAGCTTCGTCAGATACATTTCTTTTACTTTGAACTTGTGCTTCCCTCGGTGTCTCTTTCCTTGCACATCTTGGAACGCTTCCGAATCTGGTAGAATCTGAGGAAGACAGAGCAGATGCATTACCCAAGGAGACTGGTCATGGAGAAAGCACCAGACCCAGCACGAGCCCAGGAAGGACGACTCACCAAATGGCAGTGGTCATCTGAGTACTCCACATCTGAACGCCAGAGACAGAGGGAGAGAAAACAGTCCATTAAAAACACAACTGCGGGCTAATTGGCCTTCTCATAAAATGCCCCATTTGTGCTATAAGGAGGTTATTTGAGCTTATCTACTTCAGCTCTTCATAGCTACATTCTTACCCCCTCTCCAGCCA